TGCAAACTTGTGCAGTTCTGCCCGTCAGCTGCATTTCAGCTGAACATTTTTTAATTCATTTCTGGGACTTCAAAGTAGAAGTAATTTGGGTGAGGTGGTATACGCTTTGTCATCTCAGCACTTGGGAGGTGGAAGCAGGGGGATCTGGAATTCAAGGTCATTGTCAGCTACATAGGGAATTCAAGTCCTAGAATACAAGTCTCAAAAAAAACAAAAACAGGGCCTGGTTTGATGACTCAACAGGTAAAGGTGCTTGCTGCCAAGCCTGAGGACCCGAGTTAAATCCCAGGACCCACATGGTGGAAGGGGAAAGAGAGTCAATCTGCCAGCTCACACACACACACACACACACACACACACACACAGAAAAAACAAAAAAAAAAACCCTTCGCTATTCAACTTCTTTTTAGCATTTAGTTTTGTTTTATTGACCTAACCAGATTAAGAAATTCTGTCTTCCATTTTCTACCTGCTTTGTCATTTTATTTTGAAGATAATTGTGTTTGTTTGTCTTTATGGGCATGTGTGGAGGTTAAAGGACATCTTGGGGAAGTCAGTTCTCTCCTTCCACCTCTGGGTCCTGAAGATCAAACTCAGGTGGTCAATCTTGGCAGTAAGTGCCTTTATTCTCTGAGCCATCTCACCAGCTCCACAGTTGTTGATACATATTCAGCATGTTCCAGTATATCCAGTATAGTCTGGGACAGGTCACATCACCTTTGAAACTAAATTACTGGTGCTAAAATTGGTCACACACACACACACACATATATATATATATACATATATATACACATATATATATAGTGAAGGGGGGCAGTGGGGCTGGGGGGTGGAGTGGGGAAAATAGGGCCTGGTTGTGTAAGCTCACGTGCAACTTTCTATTTTCCTGCTTCAGCCTCCCAAGTGCTAGGATTACAGGTGTGCACCACCATGCCCACTAAAATAATAATTGTTTTAGAGGTTTGTGTTGAGAATTCAGTGGAATGACCTGTTCCTGGACTCAGCAAATGACCTGAGTGCCTTCCATTTGGCTCTTCTATGTAAAATAAACTGATATAAACTGTTTCTGTATTGTATCAATTTCCTCTTTTCATTGCCAGTCCTGGAAGGTATTTTTTCTTTTATATTCCCTGTAAATTATCACGTATATTTTGGCCTCATTATGCTTAAATGGGGCCTTCATTTGCTAGCCCAGGATTCTTAGTCCTCACTGTTTGCAGTAAATGAAGTTTTGTCTTTGTGCTCTCTGCCTAAGAACAGGAAATGTTTGATAGTTATTTGTTGCCAAATAGTTTTTAAGCCTTTCTCTGTTAATACCAAAACTGCCCACAGGGCTCAGTTCTAGCAGAATGTGCCCTCCTAAATGATGTCAGCTTCATGGGTTCCCTGTCTGTCCATGCAAAGGTTGGAGGTCAGGGTCAGGGTCAGGGTCTCGCCAGTACCGCATATATTCCCTATCAGTTGTTTTTCTTATGGTTGCAATTGAATACTCTGTAAGGTACAACTTAAGAGAGGACAGGTTTATTCTGGGTAAGCATCCATCATTTTGGGCAAGGCATGGTGGTGGGAGTGTGTAGCTGCTTGTTCACAACTGGGCAGATCTGTAAGCAGACAAGATAGGGTGTGTGTGTGTGTGTGTGTGTGTGTGTGTGTGCGCACGCGCATGTGTGTGTGTGTGTGTGTGCGCATGTGTGTGTGTGTGTGTGTGTGTGTGTGTATGCGTGTGAGTGTGTGGTGTGCATGTGGAAATCTGAGGACAGCTTTTAGGAGTTGATTCCACCATGAGGGACCTGGGTATCAAACACAGCTCATCAGACTTGGTGGCAAGCACCTTTACCAGCTGAGCCATTTCCCAGCCCTCCTTTCTTCTTTTTTGTTTAGTTTGAGTCCTTAGTCCGTGGGATAGTGCCAGCTACATTCAGGTCTTCCCTCCTGTCCCAATCCTCACTGGAAAAACTTGACAGTTAGATCCTAAGGTGTATCTCCTAGGTGATTCCAAATCCCGTCAAGTTGAAAGTAAAGATTAACCAGCATAGATACTTAACTTCTGTTTGACAGTTCGTTGTGACCATTAAAGAGTAGAAAATTCAGGACTGGGGATGCAGCTCATTAGATGATGTACTTGTCTAACATGCATGAAGCCCTGGGTTCTGTGCCCTCCCCCCAACACTGCATAAACCAAGTGTGGTGGTGCACGTTTATAATCCCAGCACTTGGGAGGTAGAGGCAGGCGTTCAAGGTCATCCTCAAGCCATATAGGGAGTTCAAGGCCTGTCTGGGCTACATGAGACCCTGTCTAAAAAAATTAGAAAATTTCTGAATAATATAATAAAGATTTTTATTAGAAGAGTTTTGGACTGGGTGTGATGGTATACACCTGTAAGTCTAGCACTTATGAGGCTGAGGCAGGAAGATCAGGAGTTCAGTGTCATCCTTGGCTACGTAGTGAGTTGGCGCCCAGCCTGGGCTACATGAGACAACAGCAAGGTTTAATAAACCACAGTGTGCAGTACATATTCACACCAAGTCCCCTTTAGCACCTCATGATTTGTTATTTACTAATAATAAAGTATTAAAATATCTCCCACAGTCATTAAGAATATAAGATCTTATCTGAAATCTTTGTGCTTTGAGGAACTTTTAGAGTTAACTACTCCACCCAATTGTGAAACTCACCATACCTCACAAGCAGTATTTAAATTAAAGTCAAGGTCATCTCTTGACTTGTCTGTAAACCCTCTTCCACGTTTTTGTGTGTAGGGTTAGTAAATGGTTTTCCAGCTGTATTTTCCTAATGATACCTTGATTGTTATTATTACTTGCTTTTTACAATTCACCTGAAGCTCAGTTTAATGAAGTCTGTAAGTCACTGAGCAGAAGCCATTTTTATGGTTATTCTAAGGAAGCTGGGTTGTGGGTAGTTAATATTCAGCAATGGGCATCTTGGTTCAGCACACCAGCAATCCCTGCCAATGGCCATCTGGAGTGAGCATTACAGAACTCATCTGAGTCTTCTGCCAAGTTCCAACTTCACCATCTGTAGGGGTGGCCACCATAGCACTCCTGAATACCATGATTTTTCTTTTTAGTGTGACACCATTCTGCCCCCTGCACTATGTGTGTCTGTGTGCATATTTGTGTGTCTGAGTCATGTGTGTGTGTCTGTGTTGTGTGTCTATGTGAATGACTGTCGTGTGTATGTTTGTGTCATAATTATGTCTCTATATCCGTGTCATGTATGTCTATGTGCCTGTCTGTATTTGTGTGTGCCTGTGTGTATCTGTGTTATGTGTATGTCTGTGTGTCTGTGTAATGTGTGTATGCCATGTGTGTCAGCATGTATGCCTGTGTCATGCATGTCTCTGCATCTGTATGTTATGTGTGCATATGTTGTGTGTGGCATGTCTGCATATGTGTCAGTGTGAGTGTGTGTGTGTCTATGTGTATGTGTCTGTATTTCTGTGTTTCTGTGTGTTTCTGTGTATGTGTATCTGTGTCTGTGTGTGTCTGTGTGTGTGAGAGAGAATTGTGTAAGCTGCACACACCTTCTAGGTCAGCTGCTGCCTATGTCTAGACTATCCAGGCCAGTTGAAGAGAAAGTCCGATTTGGAGCTGGGCATGGTGTCATCCCAGCACTCACAAGGTGGATTCAGGAGGATCAGGAGTTGAAGCTCATTAGGCTGCATAATAATGAGCCTGGGCTACGTGAGGTGCTGTTTCCAAAAACCAAAACCAAAACCAAAAAGCATGATTTGGAGATATCTGAAGATATCCCTAATTATTAGAAAATTAGTTATTTGTTAATCTTTAATTTACCAAGTAGAGGACTGAAGAGACTTTGGATTTTACATGACTGGGCTCAGAGGTCAAGAGTTAGAGACTGCCTTATCTTACTGTATCTGCATGTAATAGGAATTTCTGTCTTTCTGAGATAAGTTAGGCTTGCATATAAATCCATGAGTGTTTCTCCTTTGGCGTGATTCTTTGTTTTTATAAACTCATACTCAGTGGGGCTGGAGAGATGGCCCAGCAGTCAAGTGCACTGGCTGCTCTTGCAGAGGACACAGGTTTAGTTCCCAGCACACACATGGCATCTAAAACCATCCATAATTCCAGTTTCAGGGGATCTGGAGTCCTCTTCTGGCCTCTACTCATGTGATACACATACAACATGCAGGCAAACACATAAAATAAAAAATCTTAAACTAAATATATACTCAAAGCATATCACTGGTTCTTTACAGTGACCCACTCCTGTAATCCCAGCCCTCATACAGAGGCAAGTGGATCACCACAAATTCTAGACCAACCTCGGCTGCATAGAGAAACCTTGTTGCAAAAAACAAAGTAATCGCCAGACGTGGTGGTGCACACCTTTAATCCCAGCACTCGGGAGGCAGAGGCAGGTGGATCTCTGTGAGTTCAAGGCTGGCCTGGCCTACATAGTGAGTTCCAGGACAGCTGGGGCTACAGGGAGACCCTGTCTCAAAAAGACCAAAAACAAACAAACAAACAAACAAAAAAAAACAAAAACCCAAGAAACAAAAAACAATCTCCTTAAAGAAGAATTTCAGTAGGATCGTCGTCCTCATTGCTGTGACAAAACACCCGACAAAAGCAACTTAAGGAGGATGGGTTTATGTGGCTCACAGTTTGAGGGCACATCATGGTGGGAAGGCATGGCGGCAGGAGTGTGAGGCAGCTGCTCACATGGCATCCACAGTCAGGAAGCAGAGAGAGAGATGAATGCTGGTGCTCAGCTCACTTTCTCCTTTTTATTCAGTCCACACCCCAGTCTGTGGGATGGTGCTGCCCGCATTCAGGGTGGGTCTTCCCTCCTCAGTTAGCCCAGTCTAGAAACTCCCTCACAGACATGTGCCAAGGTATGTCTCCTGGGTGATTCTAAGTCCAGTCAAGTTGACAGAGAAGATTTACCATCACATGCTGTCACCCTCAGACAGGCCTGTAACCATCCCTGACTGCTGTGGTTCCCACAGGGTGTGACATACTGTGGAGAGAGCTCAGCAAGCAACCTCACCATGGCCAATGTGCCCTGGCACGAGGAAGTGGTGCGGTTTGTCCGTGAGCTGGTGGATCTGATGCCTGACTATGAAATCGCATGTGAACACGAGCATTCCAACTGCCTCCTGGTTGCACACAAAAAGGTAAGGAGTCCAGCTGTGCTGCCCCACCCTTCCTGCCCCTTCTGTTTCCTCTTTATTTCCCCTCTCTTTATTACAGGAAGGTCTGTATTCTAGTTTCTTTTCTGTTGAGGTGATAAAACACCTGGACAAAGAGCAACTTCAGGGAGAAAGGGATTATTTAAGCTCACAGTTCCAGATCTCAGCCCATCATTGCAGGGAAGTTGAGGCGGGAACTTGAAGCAGCTGGTCACGTCACACCCATAGTCAAGAACAGAGAGAGAACAGATGCTTACTTAGTGAAGCCAGCTTTCTCCTTCCTTATGCAGTCCAGACCTCACCCCAGGGAATGGTGCCACCTGTTTTCAGGCTGGTTCTTCCACATCAATTAACAGTTGAGACAATCTCCCACACATATACCCACAGACCAACCTAACCTGGGCAGACCCCTCTCTGAGAGTCTTTTGCTAGGTGATTCCAGGTTGTGTGAATCTGACAATGAAAACCAACCTAAGTTTGCTCCCCGGCTCTCATGTATAAAAAGCTGGGCGTGGTAGTGCACACTTATAATCCCAGAGCTGGGGTAGCAGAGACAGATGTATTGGGCCCTTCACAAAAGCATTTGTATAATTGTTTTTATTGATCTGCCTGGGTAGAATTGACTTTGATGATATCAGAACTAAGGTTCACTAAGGATCCAGGTGGTAGACTGTGGGGTCCACATTGGGTGAGGCTCTGCTTTGAGCCCAGCGTGGTAGCGCATGCCAGGAATCCCAGCAGAAGGCTCTCTGTGTGTTCAAGGCCAGCCTGGTCTACACAGAAAGCTCCAGGCTCAAAAAGAGAAAGGAAGGAGGGAGGGAGGGAAAGGGAGGAGGGGGGGAGAGAGAGAGAGAGAGGAGGGAGAGGAGGGAGAGAAGATGGAGAGATTGGTTGATTGATTATACTTAGAATGCATAGCACAGAAAACCCCCCTCATAGAAATGTTTGGAAGCTCTCAGTCATGATGCTTCCAGAATTTCTTTTCATGAGAACTGTGGGTTGAAAGAGTCACTCCACAGTTCTAGTCGCCATGAGGTAATCAAAAGGACGCCACATGGCCAATTTGGAAGCTGTGAGTTCTCTCAACCCAGCAGTGCAATATCCAGCAATGGCATTTCCTTCTGAATTTTAAACTGCTGCAGTGTTCCAGTGAGTTCTCTGTTCTGATACATGGGTGGCCACTGCTGTGAGGAACAGTCCAGTAGCCCAGCCCCAGGGAAATTGAAGTCATTCAATCATTTCCGGCTGTGTCTTCTGTCTTCTCTTCACGGTGCTGAGGTGCACATATCCCGTCATTCCCTGATCACATCTCTGTTCTGTACACCAGTGTATAGGAAAGGAGGTAGGAATGTGGGCCAACCTCCTGTCATGTGATCTCTTCTCATCCCTCTGGGCTTACAGCTGGGTGAGGTCACCTTAAATCATTAAGGTCAGAGTCACCAAACATCCAGTTGTCAATCAATCAGTCTGTCTTCAGGAGACTGACTCATCTCTGCCAGGGCTCCTGAGAGACTCTGCCAGCCCCAGGGGCCAGAGGGAACTGCTTTCTTAGCATTATACAAAGACAGTCACAAGTGAAAAGGAACCCCAAGAGCTTTTATCTGAAAATAATCATGGACTAGTGAGGTGATTCAGGGGGGTAACTGCCTTTGCTGCAAAGCTGAAGACCTGAGTTTGAGTCTTGGGACCCCATGTTGGAAGGAGAGAAGCAACTCCCACAGGTTGTCTTCTGACTTCACACATTTGGTGGCAGCCCCCCCCCAAGTAAAGGTACTAAAATTTTTTTAAATAGTAAAATAAATAATACATTCATAGATTAGGGTCATCATTTTAGCTCATGGTATTAGACCTCAGCTAAACTATCTTAATAGAATTTGATTTTTTGAGACAGAGGCTCACTATTGTAACCCTCGCTGGCCTGGAACTCACTATGTAGACCAGGTCAGCCTTAAAATCACAAGAGATTCACCTGCCTCTGCCTCCAGAGTGCTGGGATTAAAGACGTGCGCCTCCAGAGCTTTAACAGACTCTTTTAGAACATTTATAATGATAAAGCGCCTATGCTGTCAATATGTGGTTTGGAAATTTTCTCTGTGAAGATGAAAAAGCGAGAACTGGTTGTTGGATTGTTCCTGATAGCGAGTGCACTCCCGGCACGTCTGGTTCCATGCCCTGCTCTGAGCAACCTGGCTGTCCATTTGGGTCCATGCCTCATCCCCCTTGTGTCCTTAAGATCATCCATGACCTTTTGAGCTTGTTTGCATAGATTTACCTCTGCCCCTTCTGGGGTTTGGGGAATCCCTGCTGCCGGATGGCCCCTGTCTCTGGACACTTGCCCTCATACCCTGAGATCTGGGGCCTCATTTCTCTGTTTACACAGCTGTCTTCCCGCATGGTTTGTGTGTCATTCATGCTACACGCTGTCCTTTTAGTATCTTCTCTTTTGCATGAAACAGTTTGACTTTTCTGTGCTACATTTACTGAGTATTTTTATTCTCAAATTGTCTTGAGTAGCGTGTAAAAATTCAGTTTTATCCTTGGAGCCTGGTGGCTCAGCACTGATTTCAGAGTCACTGACTGCTTTGGACTGAATTTTGTGTCCCTGCCCCTCATACCCTATAATCTTATATGTCAAGTTTCTAACTCCCCCACCTCCAGATTGGCTGTATTCACAGAAGGGGCTTCAAGGCAGTGATTGAGGTTGCTTGGGGCTAAGAGAATGGGGCCCTCCCTGATCTGATAGAATTAGCAGTCTCAGGAGGAGAGACACAGGGCAGTTTGTAGAAAAGGAGAAAAGTCCATGTTGTAAAAGGAAGGTAGCCAACCAGTAAGACAGCCATTCTAGTTTGCTTTCTGTTGCTGTGATAAACTCCATGACCAAAAAACAGCTTTGAAAGGAAAGAGGTTATTTGGCTTACACTTCCGTATCACAGTCCGTCATCAAGGGAAACCAGGGCAGGAGCCTGGAGGTTGGAAATGAAGCAGGAATCATAGAGGAACACTGCTACTGGCTTGCTCCCCCTGACTTGCTCAGCTACCTTTTTAAAAAAAATGTATTTATTTATTTTTGGTCTTTTTGAAACAGGGTCTCCCTGTAGCCCCAGCTGGTCTGGAACTCACTATGTAGACCAGGCTGCCTTTGAACTCAGAGATCCACCTGCCTCTGCCTCCCAAGTGCTGGGACTACAGGCATGCGCCACCATGCCCAGCTTATAAAAAAAATTATTTTTTATGTGTATGTTTATGAACCTATATGTATGTAAGTGCACCCATGTTGTGCAGTGCCCCTGGAGGTCAGAACAGGGCATTGAATTCCCCTGGAACTGGAGTTATGGACAGTTGTTAGCTACCATATAAGTGCTGGGAATCGAGCTGGGTCCTCTGCAAGAGCATTCCATGTGCTTAACTGCCAAGCTATCTCTCCAGCCCCTCAGCTACCTTTCTTATACAGCCCAGGTACCTGCCTAGGGGTGGTCCTGCCCACAGTGGGCTTAGCCCTCTTCCATCAATCAGCAATTAAGTGACTCACAAACATGGCCACAGCCAATCCATTGGAGGAAGTTCCTCAATTGAGGGTCCCTCTTCCCAGGTGACTCTGTTTGTGTTAGGTTGACAAAACCATCAAGCACAATAACCCTCCCTAAAAGCCAGACTGCAGGGATGTGGTCTTAGGCTTCAGCCTCCAGAGTGGTTCTGGAGTTCTTCTGCTGAACACCCAGTCTGCAGCATTTCTCACAGTGGCCCAAGGGAACCAGTTCACCCAACCACAAGTTACATCAGCTTGTGTCCTTAGAGCCTGGGACTCAGAGTTGTCATTGCTCAGTTCCTAGCTTAAAATGGTCATATTTGTGAAACTGGTTTCTTCCACTTTAAACCAGAGTAGAGTTTTAGAAGACTGTTAGCAAGGACTCCAGCACAGAGTTTGCAAAGTACATTTGGGCTGCGTCAGCGATTCTTACAGATGAGATGCAGTGTGTGGGTTGTTGTGTTTCATGGGTGTGTGTGTGTGCATAGATTGATTTTTTTTTTTTTAACTGTAGGCTGGGCTAAAAAATTTGGTTTATTGCTCTAGTCTAAGCACATCCTTTGGTCTCTTAGACTATCTATGGCAAGTTATCCTTTTTTTATTTTGTTTATGTGCTTTTTTTTTTTTTTTTGAGACAGGGTCTCCCTGTAGCCCCAGCTGTCCTGGAACTCACTATGTAGACCAGGCTGGCCTTGAACTCACAGAGATCTGCCTGCCTCTGCCTCTGCCTCCCAAGTGCTGGGATTAAAGGCATGCACCACCACGCCTGGCTGTTTTTTGTGCTTTTAAAAAAAGGTTTATTTTTAATTATGCATATGCATGTCTGCCTGTCTATATGTGTATGTGCATATAAGTGCAGGTGCCTATGGAGCCAGAAGAGGGCCTTGAATACCCGGGAGCTGGAGTTGCAGATGGTTGTGACTGCTAGATGTGGGTGCTAGAAAACAAAATTGGGTCCTCTGGAAGAGCAGTAACATTCTTAACTGCTAAGCCATCTCCCCAACTCTTTTTTTCCTTCCTTTTGAGACGGGGTCTTGTGTAGTCAAGGATGGCCTTGAACTCTTCATCATTCAGCCTCTTCCTCCAGAGAGCTGGGATTACAGATGTGTGCCTCCATACCTAGCTAGAAAGATGTTTCTATCACAGTACTGGAGAGCACTTGTGTACAGTCAGTCTTCAGAGGGAAAAGCTATAAAATGCAGAAAGCCTCAGGGCACCATTTCAAAGAATGGTCCTAGCAGAAGGAGAACTCATAATTCACAGGCAGGCTAATTAAGCTCTTACATGCATTTGGCATTTTCCCCTAGAAAGCTCTTAACTGTTGGTTGTAAAACCAGGTGTCGTTAAAATTCAGCATATCTTATCCTAACTCCAGGAAACTATATTTTTCCATTTTTAGGACTCTTTTCAACTATAACAGAGTTAATCAGGCTTTTTGCTGTTGTTTTACAGATTTATTATTTTATTGAGTTATTTATTTGTGTGTGTGTGTGTGTGTGTGTGTGTGTGTGTGTGTATGCAGTGCTCACAGAAGTCAGAGAGGGCATCAGATTCTCTAGAGCTGGAGTTTGTAGGTGGTTACGAGAGCTGCCATGTGGGTCTGGAAACTGAACTTGGGTCTTCCACAAGCTCAGTACACTCTCTTAAACCCTGAGTCATCTCTCCAGCCCCGTTTTGAGACAGGCTTTCACTGCCTCATCCTCCCAAGTATTGGCACTACAAGTGTGTGCCACCCAGCTGTGGTTTGGAGTTTGTTTGTTTTTGTTCTTTTAAACACTGTGGTGTAACAGAAGTGCTTCTCTATTTACAAGTCATGGTGCAACATACTAGTTTTACATTTATACAAACATTTACACAAACAAGTGCCAGACAGATGTTTTGAATGAAAGGCCTTTGCTACAGAATGAATATTTCCTTGGGGTCTCATCAGCTGCCTCTCTGTTCTCTTCATTCTACAGTGAGGTTTGAGAAGCAATTTGCTTAAGAGAGTGCAAACTGGATTATTCCCCGTTATTGAATTGAAATTCTTAACAAGGCTTTCTACTAATGAGATATCGTAGGCACGTTAGGACAGAAAAGCTAGGGACAGTGTCTCAGAATTAGAAGACATTGATTAAGGGTTTTCTCATAACTCAAGCAAAGTTTAGCAATAAAAAGTCCTCTGCTAGTTCTGCTAACAGAGAAATCCATACCAGATAAAAAGCAGCCACAGCAGGGGAAATTAGAGTTAGTTTACACCAAATGTTAATGATCTGCAGCCATTTGCGGAGATATTGCTGAAGGAAAACTTGATTTCCAGTTCAAGGAGGTTGCCCTCCCTGCCTCCTTTTCTTTTCAGTGCTAAGTGGCGCAGGCTGGCCTCTGATTCTCTTGATCCTCTTATCTCTAAGGGGTCTGGGATTATAGGCATGAGCTGCTGTGCCCATTTCAGGAAGTATTCTTTATTTAGCATTTGGGCTTTTCAGGCACGATGCAGTGTAATCTTCAAGAAACTCTCCCTGTGGGACACAACCACACTGGAAACAGAAGAGTTGTAACATGATTGGAGAAACTAGACTTATTTGTGATTTAAAAAAAAATTTTTTTAGGGGGCTAGAGAGATGATTCATCAGTTAAAGAGCATTTGTTGCTCTTGCAGAGGACCCAGGTTTGATTCTCAGTACCCATATGCTGGCTCACAAAAGCTAGTAATTCCAGTTCCAGGGAATGGAATGTCCTTTTCTGACCTCTGAACACCAGGCGTGCACATACATTCATATAGGCACACTCTCATATCATAAAGTAAAAGTAAGATAAATCTAAACTAATCAGAGTTTAAACATTTTTGAGCCAGGGTCTCATGTAGCTTGAGCTGGCCTTGAACTCTTTTTTTTAAAATATTTTATTTATTATTTTTATGTTATGTGTATGAGTGTATTGCCTGCATGTATGTGAGTGCACCCATGTCGTGCAATGCCCTACAGGTCAGAAGAGGGCTTTGGATTCCCCTGGAACTGGAGTTAAGGACGGTTTGTAGTCGCCATGTGGGTGCTGGGAATCAAACCCAGGTCCTCTGCAAGAGCAGTCAGTGCTCTTAACTGCTGAGCCATCTCTCCAGCCCCTTGGCCTTGAACTCTTGATCCTCCGGCCTCCACCTCTTGAGTGCTGGAATTACAGCTTGAACTCTTGATCCTCCTCCACACCTCTTGAGTGCTGGAATTACAGATGTGCACCAATTTATGGGATGATGGAAATGAACCCAGGGATTCATGTGTGTAGGCAAGCCCTCTATCCATTGAGCCACACCCCTAGCCTTGAGGACTTCTTGGTATGTATTTGATCTTTCTTTTTCCTGTGTATATTTTTACTTCTGACCCGACAACTTTCCTTGCAGTTTAAGATCAGTGGAGAATGGTGGACGTGGATTGATTATACCCGCTTCCAGGAGCTGGTCCTGCAGTACAACAAGAGCGGTGGGTCAGAGACCTTCAGTGCACTGGATTACGTCGCCAGAACCCCACACTGGGCTCTATTTGGTGCCAGGGAAAAAGGCTTTGATCCCAAGGACACAAGATACCAGAGAAAGAACAAAGTGAAGGACGTTTCCGGATGCTGAGTTTATCCGGCTTGTGGACCCAGGTCCATCCCGGGGGCAAAGCTTGACAGCCATGTTTCAGAGTTGGACACGACATGAAACTGGACTGGAGCCACAGCACCAGCACTTCGAGAGCCTGGGACCTGCTCTGGGCTTCCTCCCAGAACCCAGATCCTTTCCTGATTTGATTTCTAACAGGAAAATCACTTGGAGGTGAAAGAGACAGCCATTGTTGGGATTTTAATAGTTTAAAATTTTATTTTAGTCAAATCTTCTAAATGTTGTTTGTGAGTGTTCCCCAGGGAATAAAATCTTCCTGTCTCTTCCTCCTGGACTGTTGACTATCTTTCCCCCCTTTCTTTCTGTTTTCTTTGAATATGTTCTTGTTCTGTAGCCCAGGCTAGACTTTACCTCACTGCATCCTCCTGCCTCTGCCTCCTGAGCACTGGGATTATAGGTGTGAGCCACCACACCTGGGTTTTAGTCAAGGTATTAAAAAAAAAAAAGAAAAAAGAAAAGCTCAAAGCTAAACCTGAATGATTATATTAAGAAACATGAATGGAAATGGGAAGGAAAAAAACATCCTTATAACTGTATATCTAAGGGTCAGGTAGTGGAAAGTGAGGGGGACCTTTTTTCTTTTTTTTCTCCCTCCCTCCCTCCCTCCCTCCCCCTCTACTTCTCTCGCTCTCTTATATTTTTCTTGAAGCAAAGTTTCAGTTTGTTAAGAAAAGGTTTTGTTTTTTTTTTTTGGTCTTGTTGAGATGGGGTCTCCCTGTAGCCCCAGCTGTCCTGGAACTCACTATGTAGACCAGGCTGGCCTTGAACTCACAGAGATCCGCCTGTCTCTGCCTCCTAGTGCTGGGATTAAAGGCATGCGCCACCATGCTTTAAGAAAAGGTTTTAAGGGCTGGGGAGGTAGCTCGTAGGTAAGGTGCATGTTGTGCAAGTAGGTCTGACTTTCATTCTCAGCAGTCTCTCCCTTTCCTTTGAGTCAGACTGGTCTCTAACTCCCTGTATAGCCTGGACAATGATTTCTTGAATGAATGGCAAAATTGTTGTATTAGGGCCTCATCATCTGTAATTCACTCCAGCAAATACCTACAGACACTGGCTCTTCTTTTTGTTGGAGATTCCTCAGTAGCTAAAGGTGCCTTAGAAGGACCACTCTGCTCTTCTGATGCTGACATTCATGGAAGGCAGAAACAGATTCACAAAAATGAATGCTGAACATCAGACACAGATGATGTTTGCCACCACGGGGAGAGGGATTTTGAGGTGAGGGGGGTACACTTCTGGTGGAAGATAGGGCAGTCTCTTGGAGGACATGAGCTGTCAACCAATGAGAAGAATCCTGACTCTAGAGGTGGGAGAAGGGCTCACCTCCCCCCAAGTGACTGAGTGATTGGATGATGCAGATGTAGGAGAGGGGCTGGGGGGTGGCTCAGTGAATAAGAGCACTTGCCTTGCAAGCCTGAGGACTTGAGTTCAAATCTCTAGCACCCATGTAAAAAGCTGGGGTACACATATAACTCTAATGGCTTCTGAGGATCCCTGGGGCTGATGGCTGCCTGCTGGCTCCAGGTTCAGTGACAGACCTGTCACGAGGGAATAAGTTGGGGAGTGATAGAGCAGGACACCCGAGGTCCTTCTCTGGCCTCTGTGTGTGCCAGGCACACTCACATGTGCATACACACACAGATCTAGGAAAGGGTCAGCCAGGAATAAGAAGCATCATGGGTGATGATGACTCAGGGAGATGCTGGCCAGGCCTGGCCCTAAGAACAGTTATGCAAAAGAACAACTTGATCTGATTTGCATTTTAATGAGATCACTGGAGCTGCAGGTTGGAAAAAGACTTGGAGAAACCGAAAGGCAAAGTTGAGTTGAGTTGGTAAAGTATTTTCATAGAACAGACTATAAGTAACATGCCTCCTGGGGTACGCTTATATGTATGATAAGGGTTACATTTGTACAGTGTCCAACTCTGTGCACTGGATTACAGAGCTGTGGATGAATCTGAGAGAGCTCTAGGAAGCAAGCTTAATGAATGTGGCTGCAAACTGGTCAGAGGAGTTGGGAGTTCAAAGGTCAGTGCCAACCCAACATGTTCTTGCTAAGAACCAGATGGGGATGACCATGGTATTAGGAGGACTCTGGGTGGGAGGGGGATGTCAAGACAACATTCGGGTCTGAAGACAAGCTAGGGGGAACAAATGGGTGAATCATGGTGGGAGTTATCAAAACCTGAGCAACGGCTGGAGAGGTGGTACAGCAGTTAAGAGCCTTTGCTGATCTTGCAGAGGACCTGAGTTCCAATCCCAGCACCCACATGGCACCAATCTGAAACTCCAGCTCCAGGGGATCTGAAGCCCTCTCTGGCCTCTGTGGGTACTGCATTCATGTGTACATACACAGGTACATAAACTTAATTAAAGGATCAAATAAATCTTAACTCTCCTAAAACCTGAGGAAGAATGAACTTACCTGTGGAGGGTATAATGTGAGACTAGAGATACCTTACCAGGCCTTGATTATCTGCAGCACAGGAAGTAGGACTACTGGTAGGAGATGGGAGGGACACACCATAGAGCCACAGAAACCCAAGAAGGGCAGCTATCAATACAAAGTGAATTTCAGAAGGAGTGTGTGTGGGGGGGGCAGGAAACAATCTTGGCTGTCATTTCTTAGACCCCATCCACCTTGTTTTTTGAGACAAGTCTTTAATTGGCTTGGGAGTCTGCAAGTGAGTGACACTGGCTGGTCAACTGGTCTCCTGGGCATTATAGACTAAGTTTAATTGAGCAGTGACAAATGCCCTTGGCCACACCTATTTAGATATTTTGTTCTTTTCATTTCATACAATAAAGTATCTTTGTATTGGGAAAAGACATTGTGGGTACTGGAGAGATGGCTCAGTGGTTAAGAGCACTTGCTGTTCTTGAAGAGGACCTGGGTCCTGTTGCTAGCACCCACATCAGATGGCTCACAGTTGCCTATAACTCCAGCTCCAGAAGATCTGATGATTTCTTATGGCCCCATGTGCACCTACCTGTATATGGCACACATATATACACTCAGGTACACAGACACATATACATAACATAATTTTTTTTTTTTTTTTTTTTTTTTTACAAAGACAAAACACTACTTTTTTGGAGAAAAAAAATTCAACAAGCAAATGCCCCCAGTCTCTCACAGGGCAATTCTAGGCAGGTGTTCTACCTCTGAGCCATGCCCCAGCCCCTCACTGGGGTATTCTAAGCAGGGGCTCTACCACCAAGCCAGCCCCCAGCCCCTCACTGGGGGATTCTAGGCAGGTGCTCTACCACCGAGCAACATCCCAGCCCCTCACTGGGGGATTCTAGGCAGGTGCTCATCTCCTGACTCATACACCCCTAGCCCTGTGATTTGCTTTGTAGTTACATAGCTATTCATTTCCAGCATGTCATCCTTTCTCCCTCATTCTGTGGGCAGCTCTCTTGGGAGCCCTTTCTCAACCCCCTCTTTGGCTTGAGGGAGGGAATGCAGGTGATGTTTTGTTCTCACCACTGGTCAGTCTATGTCGGGGTGTGTGGGCCATTAGGCAAGGCCCCCCACAGCTCTTCTTTTAGAAGCCCATTATTTTAATTTCCAAACCTTTTAGAGACGACAGCAACAACAGCAGCAGCACACTCTGTCTGCCTTCCAATTATGACAATTCATGACTCAGAGTCACAAATTGGTCATTTTTTTGGCCACTACATCCTGTCCCACTCTGCCAGTCTCCCCTCTTATAGACCCAGGCTGAGGTTCCCAGGGAAAGGGGGATGCTGACGTAATGGCTCCTATTTCAGATTATCACCCTGGGAGTTGGGATGCCAAGGTTGTCTGCAGTCCTGGGGAGAGGAATAAAGGAGGAGCTAAATCTTATTTCTTTATAAAGTAACTCCATATCCGGTACATTCATTTCACTGCATTCTGTTTACCAGAACTAATGTGTTTATTAAATTTGCCTGGAAAATCAGAAAATACCCCCCCCCAATTACTGCATCACTCAAACACATCTAAAAATAAAGGACGTGTTCACAGTGCTCAAACACTTTATCTCATTAAAGAACGACTTCCTCAGTCTAATGGAATCCCAACAGCTAGTCTGTGAGCTAGTGTAGTGAAGAGGAGGGTATGACTGGCCTTGTGCCCCACAGCTGAGGACAGAGGCAAGTGCCCACCCCCCCAAGACCAGTCCCTCTACCATCCTTCTATAGGAAAAAAGTCGCTTTTAGATTCTCCCTGTGCCCTGACCTTACTTCTTGTATGCTTAGATTTTTTTTTAAGTAACAACTAGAAATCTCTCTCTTAAATAAAGGAAACTCCTTTTTCTCTTTGTTTCTGTTTGGGGGGCTGGGGCTGGAATCCAGGGCCTTATGTACCAGACATAAGGTATGCTGTGGCAGTTTATCAGTTTAAAATATTTACTTCCACTTAGACTACTTTTTGATACTGTAACATATATTGGAGACAATCAACTTATACAGAAGAAAGGTTTCTTTGGGCTGACCATTTTGGAGATCTCAGTCCACACTTCTTTAATGTTAGCTCCACTATGTCGAACCTGTGGTGAGGATGAACATCGCTACAGAAGGGCATGATAGAGCAAAATCATTTCTGTCACGGTGAGCCAGCCAGAGAGAAAGAGGAGTTAGTTGGGGTACCGTTATTCCTTCAAAGACACCCCTCACAATGACCTAAAGGCCTTTTCCTGGACCCCACCTCTTCTCAGTAGTGCCATGGTTGGGAATTCAGACTTGGGGAGATATTAGTAACTTTGGAATTGCTGTGTTCAAAATACCCGACAGAAACAACTTAAGGGAGAGAAGATTAATATTGGCTGTGGTTCCAGGGGCTGTCAATCTGTCACTGTAGGAATGGCCTGGCCAAGCAACTCAGTTTATGGTGATGTAAGTGTGTGGTGGAGATTGTTTGTGTTCACACCACGGTGGACCAAGAAGGAGAGAGACCGGGACTGGATGTAACTTTCAAAGTTCTACCCTCCACCCTCCAGTGATGTACTTCCCCACCTCCTAAAGGTTCTACAACCTCACAAAACAGAGCCACCTGGGGACCAAGTGCTTAAATAGGAGTTTGTGGGGTAACATTTCCCTTTCAAACTATTATAGAGGACATTGAATATCCTAGTTACAACACCTCTGTCCTGGTTAGCTTATTCTCAGCTTCACATAGCCGAGAGTCACTTGAGAAGAGAGTCTCAATTGAGGGATTTCCCAGATGGGATTGGTCTGTGGGCAGGTCTGTGGGGATTGTCTTGACTGTTAATTGATACAGG